CAGATAGCTTTTCTTAGGCTTTGTAAGATCTTTGTAAGTTGAGTTGAAAGCAATCTAATTTCGGCAAAATGGCTGCTTTCATTGTATACAGGACACCRAACCTCTTGTGTAGGACCTTTTCACCATGTTGTGATTGATTTTACATCTATTGAAAACAAGTCTGGTCTCTGCCATTTGTTTACCCTTGTATTCTCTCTTTATGCTTTGGTATGCATTTTTAATTAGATACACTCCAGTTCTTTCACCACTAGCTAACACTTTTATTTGGGAAGCAGTCTTTACTAGCCCTGCAAATATCCGCTGTTCTTTGCAATGTCAAGTCCTTTTCTCACCTTGCTTTGACTTGGTTATCACTTATATCACAAGTAATTCATCCATCTGTTAACTGCTCCAATTCACATTACTTGGCTTTATTTTAAAGATCTTAACAATGGTCAATGGTCTCATCTGGCAGCTGGTTTCTTGTAAAAAATGTGCCTTTCCCAAGTGACATTCTTGTGAGGATCAAAATATTCACTGAATGGGTTTTTATCTAGCAGTTTACAGGTCCCTCAGGCTCTCCATAGAACATATTGTATACACCCAGCGCTTTGGGCACACCATGTGTAGCAATGTGGATGACTTCACCTTCTTCAATTTTATTTCATTTTTCTCCAGCTTTCTGCCATGTTGTCTTTACAAACTGTTGGTTAATTCTTGCAAAAAAAAAAGATGATACATACTATGCATCTACACAATTGTTTAAGTCTGCATCCAGAGTATGCCATTAATGCAAAACTCTCAAAGCACATTGGTGCCCCATGAAGCAGTTTGTGAGTGCTGAAGGAAGATTCTCTCACTGAAAAACGACACAGCAGAAACATGCTTAATACAATTTGGTTGCAAATGGACATTCACTCTATGGGACAAAATCAGAGCTATCCAAAGTAAAAAATGCTGAAARATATGGTTGCCTGTTTAGCCCCACACATTTGTTTCTCCTAGTCTCTATTACTCCCTAACACAGCCATAACCACCGATTGTTGGTTGGCTTTCACTACCTGAAATTGGTGAAAAGCATTATACCAGTTACACAGCATTTCTATAAAAGCAATGTTTTAGCCCAATCAGAAATAGCTAAAGTACTATAGGAAGGGTAAAATTAATTGTTATTGTGTCATAAATAAGAGGAAAATCTCCCACTGAATAAAGAAAAAAAGAAGTGTAGCATTGTTCCATCCCACAGCAATCCAGAAAAAACCCACAGTATGTCCACTTTACATACCACCTTTCTCTTAATTTACAGTTTTCAATTTACAGTCTTCTACACAGTTATTTAAATAAACTGTCTCTCACAGAGTAGCACCTTTGCAATTGCCAGGGACACAAACCCACTTCTCTGTTTCCTCATAAAAATTTTCCATAGACACCCCCAACACAAGCATTTCCAGCAAGACTGATTTTTTTCTTGGCCTTATCTTCTCCAGATGGTTTGTAGATAGTTCTCACAACTCAGCCATCACTTTAAATAGACCTAAAAAGACAAAAGTCCGGTTTCCTTTAGGACTGCATGTGAAACTTGTATTGGCTGGTGAAACTTCCAATATAAACAAGATCTCTTGGCACCAGCTGGAGGCGGGGCTGGGGCTGTGTTTATGGCTCACTGTAAGGAATGTTTACTTTCTTAATACCCTCTCCCTTCTTAACTGGATGGATTATATCCAAATACATTGTTACCATAGTTCTCACTCAAATTAAACTGAGTTTATACTTGTCATACTTTAATGGGCAGGTCTGTGCTCTGAAAGAGATGCAAATAGTTTTGTTTGCAGGTTTTCAATAATCATATGTTTCATGATTAATGAAGCCTCTTTCAAGCCTGTAACAGCCTTCTGCAGCTGATTGTAGAATTGTTGAGAAGTCTAAAAAAAGTAATCTCACTCATATACTATCTTTAACTAATCCTGCAAAATTTTATTCATTGTTTGTGACAAGACTTGCTATTACTCTGCATGCAGCAAGGAGTTGATCAAGCATTGTACAAGCTGTTGGGGATGTCACAGAGGTCACCACCAGCACTTCTAACTGAGTGAGTGCTTGCCAAGGATAACAGAAGAAACCATTTCCCCATATACAGGTTTGCCAAGACAGAGTTCCAGTCCATTCCCAGGGTGAAAGGCTGCAGTTTAAAAAACTATTATTCCTTCRTTTCTTTAACTACCAARCACAGTTCTAAAGCAATAAATAAAATAGTGTGAYTCTGGCTCTATTACCCTCTCACAAAGATGATGTCAGTTCTTGTACTCCTCGATGTATATTCATTCCTCATGCTCTGTTCTACATGTTTAAACATAGAAAAAAAACTATCTATAACTGTCATGCTTTGTTCAATCCAGAGTGCATCGAGTATCCTAATAGCTGGCTTTCTAAAACTAATCTTCTGTTGGGCTTGTTTAGGTTTTTTGATGATGATTTTTTTTTCAGTATTATAACTCGGTCCTGGAGAATTCCTCCTGTCCTAGCACAAACAGCACTCTCTATATATATGATTTGCAAGAAAATTGTGTCCAATCTCTCAGTGCATTCTTCATGTTCTACACACCACTCTTAAATTTTGCCACTTAGCCATGTAAAATTGACTTTTTTTTTAATTACAGAGCTTCAGCTATATTGCTGTTTTAATCCAATCCCAAAAAAAATTGAAGGGAAAATTATATACCATGAGTTAGAAAAGAATGGTGTGATCTCTTAGCAAGTCTGATATCTCTTGATCACTGCACTAAAAACAAGGATAGGTTAGCATGGCAAAACCAGGAAAAACGTAAGGGTTCAACTACAATAAATTTTTACCCCTTATGAGAGCCATCCAAGTAATAAAAAAGGAACCTTGAACACTTTTTTGCACTTCATTATTGCAAATCAWTAAATAAAATCTTCTATAGATTTGCACTGGTTAGACCAAAACAATGAGGGATTCAGCAGAATGCAAGAGAGTGCCCTTCAGATTAAATGACAATTTGGAAGTGTTTAACAACATATGGTCTCTTTTCTTTGACATATACGATTAAGAATATATCTCTTTTATATAAAAATATAAAATACCATCTGTCATAAGTTCCAACCATGATACTGCCTCTATATATCCAATTAATTCACTCTACTTTCTAGTGTAAATATTTCTCCTATTTTCTCCTTTTTTTCTTCTTCTGTAACTGTATTTATTTGTAAAATTTCAATAAATGTATATATTAAAAAAGTCAATACTACAACTTGAAATGTAATTAGGAATAACAATGAAAGTCTGTTTCACTTTGTATTTCAAAGAAGGGCCAAATCTTCAAATGGTTTGAAATTAGATTGCTCATTTAAGTCAGTGGGTATAGGCATATTACGAAGATTTAACTATGTTGTTTTTCTTTATTATACACATTAAGCCAGAGAAATGTTCACTTTACATAAATAATTATGTTTCTTTCTTTTTTTCAGAAGTGAGGGGTTCCTTAAAGAGACATGACTGCAGAGTGAGAGCCAAATACAGTGGGTGTTTCTCCTTAAGGTGTCAGAATTCCAGTGAACATGGAAGAATAAAAGGTTTACTCTCAAAATCATGGTAGAAACCAGCAAAATACATAATGCATTTCAATTCACTGGATTAATACTTTACCTCATTAATTTATTCTTAAAGAAATATCTTTGACCACATAATTATTATAATGACTTTTGAAAACATTAAGACATGCAGAAGTCTCAAAACACAGACAAAAGAGTATAGGAGCTAAGTTTTGCCAGAAAGGAGCGTTACAACCTGTTTGAAGCAGGGTGCAATATTTCTTCTGTTTGAAATGAACATACATAGATAAACATATACACAGAGACACACACATACATTTTACTCTTTGTTTCTGAGTAATTTGGCTGAGGGTGCACCAATAAGTTACACTAATAGGTTTTGCTTTGGTAACATGAAAAAGAAATTGCTGACCCACAATTTAAACTACATTTTAAGCCTTTAGCTTTCTAAGAATCTTTTGGAAATTTTAATCCTTCTGATTCCCTCAGCCTAGTAAAGATCTCAAAAGGAATGGAAGAGACAATTATATTGCTTTTCAATTGCTTTTATATTGCTTTTCAAAAAGGCTGCCCCTCTTAAAAAGCAGAATATCATATCATGGAAATTTCGTTTCCTTGGATTAATTTTATACTTAATGGTATAAAGAACTAAGACTCCTATGTCTGCTGATGTGTTGTGGAAGTGGTGACAATATCTGTCTATTTCCATGTAATTTATAACTTAGTACCTTTTCACCTGGTTCCCYGTAGCTGGTCTATGAGCAGAAAATGCTGATCATCTTCTAATATTACATCCTCAGTCTTTAACAGATCTGTCAAAATGGTGCTCTTCTTGGTCATTCATGGTAGAAATTCTCTATAGAGTCCTAATAAATTGCTTTTATAGGTTCTTAGGTTGTCCCAGTACTTACTAAAATACATGCAGTATTTCAGTAACTAGATAGAAATCAACTTTTAAAAGGTTTWATTCTGTTAGTCATAGTAAGTGCATATGGGGCACTGAGATCCACAACTTATKCACAATTGTCTGAAAAAGTACTCACTTGGCCTTGTTTTCTTCTTTTAATTGACAAGTTTTTTGCTCCAGTTAACATAAGGGTAGTAGAAATTCCAATTTGCTTCTCTGTTTGCATCAGAGATGTTTCCATCATTTTTCAGCATACGTGCTTTTACGTGGTTACCTCCCTATTACATTTGTTTGACAAAATTCTCACTTTATTTTCCATATCTGCCTGTGSTGGGTTTATACATATGGCCACTCGTGTTTCTCTTCTCTAAATCCTAGTATTGTCTGTACATGAGAGGAGTACATGTGGGACTGTTCTGATTACAGCAATCATTCTTTTATTGATTTGATGACTCATTTGTTGGCTCTTCTGCCATCCTGTCGTGTAGTTGTTTCAGTATTGGTGCCATTCGGCTGCAAAGGGACAAAGTTAACCCACAGCACYTCACAGCAGAGCAGCTGAAGCCGTTCCAGCCCGGCCCGTTTCACTCGAGGCCTGCACCCGCCGGAGCTCCCCGCTGCCACAAGCTCCTCCCCGCCGGCCGCGGGGCCGGAAGCCGCTGCCGTGTGCCCTGTGAACCGGGAAGGGTTCGGTTTGAATGAGATCCGGCTGATTCACCGCGGCCCGAGCGCCACCGGCCCAGGTGAGGGCCCGGCCGCCTCCGTGCCGGGGTGCTGGGGGGCCCAGGGCGGTCTCTGCGAGGCGGCGGAACCGCGCCGGGGATTCGGCCCGAACGCCGGGCGGGGCCGCTGGTGGCAGCGGGACGGGCGGGTCTGGCGGGCGGCACCGGCCCGGGCGGGCAGCGCGCTGGGCCCCGTGGGCTTTAGCGGGGGAAATCCCGGCACTTGAGAGCAGCGGGGCAGCTGCGGACGGGCCGGGGGGAGGCGGTGAGAGGGGCCGGGCAGTGGCGCRGGGGGGCCCCGTCTCTGCGGCCGGACGGGCCTTGGCGCCGCACGGGTCCCAGGGCCCGGCCGCCTCCGCCCCGGCCCGCAGCGGCCAGCGTAGTTGGGCAGCGCCGGGCGCGGGTTTGTGCTGCGGGCAGCACCAACGCTCTGTTCCCCGACAGAGACTACTCTGCGCTGCTGCTCCCCATGTGCAGCATTGTCACAATCCCCGGCAGGGCAGCTGAGGTTAGAGGGGGACGGGGGGAAGCGAAGGAAAAGCGCTGGCTGGGATACGTGAAAGGGAAGAAAGCAGAATTAGGTAGAAAAGGAGCGATAATAAAAAATTAACAACGCTATTTCTACTATGCAGCTGATTTTAATATTGTTTTTGTAACAAATTTCTGCCATAGTTGGATACTTGTAAACAGTTGACAAATCTGGTTGTGTCCTGGCATCGTGTCTTAAAGATGCAGTTGTTTTTGTTATACTGTGGAAAAACAAAACCATCAGCGATTGAGATTTACTTGTTAAAAAATTTTATGTGAATGTATTTCAAAGCTATATATAACTGAAATGGTATTAGTCAAGCTGAAAMGTCCAACAGATTTGTGTTCATCTTAAAGCTGCCAGCCGTGGGAGTCTAAGGTGTCCTGTATGCACCAGGTAGGGAGTATACTTAGAAGATTCTGTGGAGCATTCACTGTTCATGACCTTACTGAAACAGTGAAAAATAAGTTTGTGAAGAAATTCAGAAATTGGCTTGCATATGAATTGCTTCTGAATCATTTAGTGTGACTTTGAGCAACAGGGTTTAGCCTGTAGCTTAATGCAAAATGCTGTGTTCTATCTTATGTGGTAACATTCCATTTCAGTGACATTAATTTGAAAACTTAAGCTTATGATATAGAACATTATAAGTTAGAGAGTACTTTAAAATTGAATTAAATAATACCAGTATATAAATTAGTTTGTAAATTTTCATGGAAATTATTCACTCATGACAAGAATTATGAAGCATAAACTAATAGTACCTACAAGTACCTTGTAATATCTAGGATGATGGGAAAGGGCAGGTGTTGAGAGCACCGTGAATAATAGAGAACTGGTGTGATGAGTACTTGCTGGACTACAGGATAGTCCCACAGTAGCTGTGTGTCTACTTGCCTTTCTGCAGACTTCAGAGAAGGCCATTACTTTATCTAATGCATAAAACTAAAATTATTTTCATTGGTTTATGGAGTGGCACAGGTTGTAAATGAATCTTTGCTTATCTGTAAGTTTTATGTGRATGTTTTTATGTAGTTTTAAGCAGTCTGTCTGAATCTGTGTTACTGAAGAAGTAACTCCAGCTCAGCAATGAATGTAGTAGAATTAGGTTTACTGTACTTCTGGAGGTCAGAAGGCAGAGTCTGGGAAGCTGATCCACAGACCTCCTAGTCCTGCTCGGGTCTGTTGAGATTTGGGTCTATATGATCCAGAAACAGGGTCTAGGTTTACAGAATTGAGCATGTTATGGAAGCAAAAGAGTCATGTAACTCTGGGCTTGTACTACTGAGACTGCATTTATGCATGACGTGGTTAATCTCTAGCTTTAATGAGCAGATTACTTAGAATTGATAGTAACATCTATATGTTTTTCTTCTTTTTGTACAAATTGTATAGGAAGGTAGACTACCCCTCCCCCCCAGCCTTTTCACATGTGAAGTTTCTTTTCAGTTTGGTGAATTTAACTGCAGTAAGTTTTTGGKTTTTTTTCTTGGTGAAATGTTTTTCTACAAGGTGCAATTTCTAAACTGATTTAACTCTGTAGCTGTTTATCATCCCTAGTGAAGCTGAAATGGTTACAGTTGCACCAAAAACCTTGAGCCACTTTTTATTTGCTGTTTATAAAATTGTTGCTTATCTGCTGCGTGTAACTCCTCGACTGGAGATCTGGAAGTGCTTGTGCTAGGCTTGTTATATAGTCTCAGGTAGAGAAATTGAGTTACCGAAGATGAAATTATTTGCATCAAATCACTCAGTGTACAAATTGCAAAGTAAATTGCTGTCATCTGCATGTGGCCTGATACTCTCTCCACTAATAGGGCAGTTCAGTAGCCATTGTTTTCTCTATATGTCGAAGCTCATTTTGATATTTATTTCTTTACTAACTCAAAAGTTGMCAAACCAGGAGAACCCTCTTTCATTGAGGGATCACATCATGGAGTGTTAATRCTAGATAAAAATAGTGCACTGTAGTGTGAAACTCATGTGTCTCGTGCAAAGAGATATAGTAATTTAAGACTGTTTCAGGTTGATTTCAAAATACATGCTGAAACATGCCAAGTATAAACATAGTAGCTATTGGTTTATACCTAAATGTGTATACACATTTGTGCATAGTCCTTTTGTATAACTTCATTCCTATGTTACCTAAGAAAAAATGTTTTCATTATAATAAGTCAGCATTTAAGTGATTTGAAAATAGCAAGGAACAACTGGATGGTGCTGCTCCAAACAAGCAACTTCTAAAAATTATTACAGTTAYCTAACAGTAGTATTGGGAGCAAATATTAGACATGGGTTTTAAAATTTCTGGTTTCAGATCAGTTTTTAGATACCCTGTGTATACTTTCACTGCATTATTATTATCCACTGATCTTCCCCTTTTGAGGCAAAGACAGTTAAAAGAAAATTGCGGTAATGGAAGTTTGAGGTTTTAGATACCATCCTATACCAAGATTATTTAGCTRTGGTGTTTCCAATAATGGACATAAGTAAGCAGAGGAGCTACTTAATTCTTTTTTTTTAAGCCATTAGTGACCATGTTGATTTCATTGATGAGAGCATGTCATCCAAATGACACAGTGCACCAAAATGCAAGTTTGTTACAACTGTCCTTATGCATTTTTCTGACATGGAACTATTTGATACGTTTACTTCCTTAAACTTTTGCATTAAACAGAGACTGTTAACTCTCACTTGCAGACAGAAGGAAACAGTATCAAAATACCTTTTGCCGACTTTGGAAGGAAAAGAGGTGAGATTTACTAAAAAAAAAAAGAGGTGTACGGTTTGCTTACTTATCTGGGCTTTATTTATATGTMTATATTATGTAAGTATATGTGTGTGCACAAATACAGGGAAAAAAACAACAGAGAAGTTGCTAATCAAACCCACTCTTTTTGCACAGAGAGAGGTAGGATGCTCAACTGCAGGTTACAGTGTGTGCTTCCCTGGGGAACAGCAAAGCTTACAGRGATTTGTTTCTTTCATATCCTTGTAGTAAGTGGGGAAGGGAATGCAGGAGCTGTGGGTAGTCAGGTGGGTAAAGGTGAATTGGGTTGTAGCTCAAGCCCAGTTGAACAAGTGGTTGCAATTCTGTGCTACTGGCTCTTGTGGTCTCTTCCTGGGTCGTTTCCTTCTGCAAAGCTGGCAGAAGAATAGTAATGTTCCATTCGACTTGTTAGTGAATTCCACCCCAGCCTGTCAGCCGTGAGAAACTCTGACTTGTTCTTTCTTTTCCAGTTTTCTAGGAAGGTGAACACATCTTCCTTTGCTCTTGTACTACTTTGAGATAAGGTTCAGAAGGGTCTCTGTTAAATTACCTCAGTTACTAAAAAAAAAAAAACAACAACAAACCCCCACCCAAACAAAAACTTGAAAGCAACCCCCAAACCCACAGACATTCTTTGGGCAGCTTTAGCTTAAAGAATGRTTTGACAGATACGTCTTCTAGAGCCTGTATTAGTGTTAGAAGCAATCAGCTCTTCCAAGACCTGTTTCTGTTATGCCAAGGCAACTATTTCTGGGATGCTTCTCAGAGAAGTGAAGAGGGTTAAACCCAGCATTTTTGTWAGCCTCTCAGTTTGCTGCAGGGCTGCACAAATGGCTGTCCTGGCAGTACTGAGAAAGCAGCATCAAGTTGGTGAGCAGCAGCAGCTTCCTCATTGCTCCTTATGTTAACASTGACATTGAAAAAAACATCTATCAAATCACGGCCACAGATCATTTCACAGATCTGTTTTAAAACACTGCTCTACAAATGATTGAGTGGATGCGATTAATGGGCAGTGTTCTCAGAGAGGAGGATAGCATGAATTTTAACTCCTAAATGGAATGTGAAGCAGCCTTACTCAAACTGAATTCAGGCAAACTTAAAGGTGTTTGTGGCTTTTCCAGTCACACCAACCACTCTTGCAGAAATAAACAGGAAAGCTGTCTGTACCTGCCAACTGCTGTTACCCTTGGTTCTTAGGGCATCTTATCTACAGATAGAGCTTCTAAAATACTAAAAAAGGACAGTGATTTCAGTTTCTAACAGCATTTAAAATGATCAATTAGGTTTAAATAGCTTAAATTAATTATTAAAATTATTTTGAGAAAATTGGAAGCTTCTTTCAATGTTACGGATACTTGAGCAAGACATGGCCTGTACCACTTTAAGGGATTGTATGGTAAAAGGTAAAAATCCCAGTAAACATTCCTTGGGTTATTCGTCAATGGCGCCTTGTGCTTCTGCTGCTTATCAATGTAACATTTCTTTTTACATGTGCTACTGTTTCTAAATTTTACTGGGTTTTTGCCCTTCTCCTTTCTATTTTCTTCTACAGGGAAGAGACCTACTGGTGTCATCTTTAGTGGGAGCTGTTGCCAAGTTTGTTCTGTGAGGACCTCTTGTTGAGCATCAGGTTAGAAATGTATAGTTGCTTTATTTGTAAAGGCTAAAGCTATCTTCATTAATGTCTAAAAATTTTGCTTAAGCTCTTTTAAGGTTTACAAAAACATTTTTTCAGAAATTGAGTTTATGGCTGAAATAATATTTAGATACAGTGGGCTAACAAAAATTTAAATTTGTTTTGATTTGATTCACTAACCTAAGTTCTTCAGATGCTTATAGAGAGTAAACAAATATGTTTAGGTCCATATAGTCTATAGCCTTCTAAAACATACTCAGTTACAAACAGGCAAGCGAAGCATTAATTGCCAAAACTAGCCAGAGTCAAGTCATGGAGCTACTGAAATAATTTCCAGTGCATCCAGAACTGGGTTTTGGAGATTTCCTCTCTGTGCTGCTGTCTTGAAAATCTGAGTATTTCAGGGACTGAAACTTCTCAGTTACTCTTCAGCCCTCTGCAGTGTCATGGAAAGATGAATCATTGTGGGTTTCAATGGAGGAATATCTACATCAGAGGGGTCAAATGAAATGTAGTTCGCTTTAATTTGCGGTAACACTGTGACTGTTTTATTGAAGCCATTTAGCATATGCTTACATAATAGCTTTAAACAGCAACTTAGCCATTCCAGGAAAATCCTACAATTTGATTTGGAATTTATTGTCGTTCAGGATAGAAAAGTATATACACTGTGTGCAGCTTTTGCCTCTAATAAAGAAGTTTGCTTTCAATAACTTACTGAAAAAGTGAAACATAACCACTGACCCTTTAATAAGCTCCTTTTAAATTTATGAAGTGGCAATGGAGCTCTAAGAAAGTACTTACTGCTAGGTGAGGCTGCAGTTGTGTTTGCATGAAATCAAGGGGGTGAGTTATATTAAACTCATAGCTTGATAGTGCATTGAACTGGGGAAGTGAAATTAGCAAGTAGAGCAAGTATTACTGATCAATGCATCTTTGATATCATTATGAAAGTAGGAAGTAAAATGCTGCTTCTTTGTGTGTTTAGAAGCTTAAACTACTGGTGTTAAACTTGAAATACTGAAATAAGCTTATACTGAAATAAAGGTTATTAGTCTTTAACCAGTAAAAATTCTAGCAAATTTCAGAAGAAATTATGAAAATTACAACATTCACCTATAACATGAAGATCTTTCCATGTGCAAAGCAAATACATTTTTTGAGTTCTTTTGCATAATTATTTTTAAAAGAAGGCTTTTGAATTATCTTTAATGTAATCTGAAGTCATGTCTATTACTCTCTTACGTGTAATGTAACATCCGCTGGGAGGATGAATGAATTTTGGAAATCAATTTTGGAAAGCAATTGTGTTCTCAGTTGCTTTTATGTCACCTAAACAGGCTTTGTTGTGTTGTATTAAAACTTGTCCAATTAAGAGCATAATTTTCGATGCTGTACTTTGTATCTTCTATTTCACAAATAAAATAAGCCAGTTTTTATTTTATTATTCAAATTTTCTGATTTCTATAAGCCTTGGAAAATGCTTGATTTGCTGAAAACTGTTGTTTAAAAATTAATATTCAGCAGGCTTTTTTTTTCCATTTTATCCATGATTTGTGTTATAAAAAGCTAAGAAGGTGAAAAAGCCAAGTAAACATGATGAAGTTCTGTTAAAGCTGGGGCAGAACTTATGCTTAGATATCCACCCTGAAATCAAGATGCCTTTTCAGCAATAGAAAGTGAAGAAACTTTAGAGAAAGAAACATCAGTGTAATTTTGTTGGTTGGGCACCTTAACAGCTTTTATTCCTGGGGATCACTTCTTTGACAGTTACAAGAAACAAAAACTCCGCTTTTTTTTTTAAGTAAGAAGTTGCACTGATTGGAATAATCTTGCACTAAAGCAATGGCACATGCAACACTGGAAATGTATTAAATGACTGTACTGTCACTAGTCTTCTAACTATATACACATTAAATGTTTACTTTACAGTATTTCTTTTAGTATAATGAGTTCATTAAAAAAAAGCTTTTGATGCTAATTCAGAGATCCATAATCTGCTTAGTGTCTTTCACATGCATTTTTGATGGTAACTGACAAGCTGTAAGTTAATTAGCACAGAACTTACTAATGAGGATGCTAAAATCCTTACTTTAACATTTTTATTGATGATTTCTTAGCAAACTGAAGTAAATTTGATTGTATATCTAATAAGTTTTAGGAACTTTCTGGCTGTAGGTACTGATCATAAGCAACAAAAATCCCCCCAATTAATTGAATGATGGGAAAGTTTTGAGAAGTTTGACAAGAGTGTTCATCTTCAGAAATGGGGATAACCCAAAACCAAAGCAATAAAACAAAGTCTGTTAATTAGCATGGAAGACAGCTTCTTGAATTAATATGTGGTGTTAATTAACAGGAAGTCTGATGTTGTGTTGTAA